CTGAAGACATGTATTTATCTCTGATACGAAAACAGTATCAATGGAATGTAATTTTACCACTACATTTGCTGTTTCAGATACGGATAGAAAACTGTAAAAAAATAGATCTTATTTCATTTTCGCTTCACCGTTTCAACGTTCAACTTGTTCACCTTTTTCAGTTACCCTTACCCATACTTACTTTTTATGCATAACTCATATAAAGTGAAGATTAGAATACACTAATTTGCGCAAATGCCCTTTGTCTTTTGGCTTTTTCAAAAAGGCAGGAGTAAGATTGGATAAAGGCGAGGAAGAGAAAGGGGAATGCGAGAAAAGGAGAAAGAGAGAGAGAGAAAAAAAGGATTTCAAGTTTAAAATTTTCAATAATTCAAAGATCAAAATTTTTAACAATATACATTTGCTTCTCCCTTTTTTTTGGCCACGTATTTTAGCGGCTTACCTTTTCACCGCTGTTTTGGCCACGTATTTTAGCGGCTTACCTTTTCACCGCTGAATTCTAAAAAGTTTTAAATAAAGGGTTTAGATAAACATAGCAGGTACCCAAAGTACCTCAGTAGAAATTGACAACTTTTTTGGCTTATTTGCTACTCAGCAGTTCTGAATCCACCGTGTCACAAAAGTAAAATTTTATTTTCTGTGGTTATGCAAGAAAAGCTGAGTAGAGAAGAGAAAATGCTTAAAAAACTGAATTTTTATCTGCTAAACTACAAGTTTTACTTCTCTGTTCCTGTTCCTCCCTGCTTTCTTTTTCTTTACTTTACTGCTTTAAATCGCCAAAGTATCTGGCATCCGCTGTGACTGTTTCTACGATCACCTTTCATCCTTTCTTTCTAATCTTGTCATTGATGCTATACCCTAGAGATTTGTAGCTCAATTTACAAATAAAACCTTAAAAGTTGCTTTTTTACTGGGTGTCATTAATGGCAAGCAGAAAAAGAAAAGAAATTCTACTACCTGATTATTCGTGTAGCTTTTCCATTCCTGTCTCAGCACCAAAATCAGCATCTTTGTCATTACCATTGTGACACGGTCCCACTTATTCGTTGGGCGAATACAGACCAGAGAAACAAAAAAGCTGAATCAGAGAGAACAGAAATTCCATTAAAAATTTGTGCTATATTTAGCACTATCTTATAGGAGCGTTACCAATTTCCTCGTGGTATTTAAAGATTGAAGAATGAAGCATTAATATATATACATATTTTAGACATTTGTGACAAATACTTGAAACCATAAACAACTGTCTCGTTAATGGCTTATTGTAGACGAATAAAAACTGTAGGTAAACGCAAGCTGGCAATTTGACGGCAGCTTTTTTCTGCCTAATTTTATGTTTTTATCAACACCAGAATTTTAGCTTATCTTAGTCAGATCTTCAAAAGAAACAAAAAAATTTTAAAAAAAAAGCTGTCTACTGTGGGCAGTGCAATGAAACATAAGAAATAAAACTGGAAAAGTTTGGAATTGAGAAGAAATAGTAAAGACAGAAAAAAAGCAAAGCAGCAACCATTTTAGTTTGGTGCCGCTCGATTTTGATATTATTACGAATCTCGCAAAATTGTGACAGAACAGATAGCTCTTAAAGAGGAAGGAAAAAAAGCTTCTGGTTTCTTTTCACTCATGGTAGCTAATAACACTGTTCTTAGTCAGAGCAACCTGTTAATTATTAACTTTGTCAATAGCAAGTAAAACGAAATAAAACTTTAAGTACAGACTTTAAACAGTGGTAATTGTATTTTGAGCAACAACAGTTGTCTGTCTTCTCTGTTTTCATATTCGTTTATGAAACCCGTTATACTGTCGTCTTCGTCCAATCATTCCGGCAGGAGAAGGTGTAGAAGTAACAGAAATAAATACGTTGAAAACTAAATCAAACAAGCACCGACAATTATCCATAAATGTCAGAAAACAAAAAAATAAAAAAAATGAAAGCAAATACTAACAATGCTCGTGAAATAACAACATAACAAACTAATAGCAAGCTTTATTCCATCATTTCTCCCTTCTATTTCACGCTTCTTCTTCTCCTCTCATTCCTGTGCTGCCATCTGCAAATAGAGCAATAAAACTAAGCTAAAAAGAAAGATGGGTAAAATGGTTTATTTGTTGGAGTCGTTGCCGTTCTGAAAAGTCATTACTCAGCAGCAGCAACACCCACAGCAATACCAACAACAACAACAGCAACAGTGGCAGTACCAACGCCTTAAATTGTAGATTGAAATCTGAATGATAATAATTGTAAAAAAAACTATTTTTAATCGAAATACCGATATAAACTTTGTAACATACAAACTTTTTACTTCAGAAAACTTCTGTAGCGTCTTCCTCACCTGTTCCATAAAAAAACGTAAAAATAAAAAAAAAAAGTACTGCTTCTTCCTTTCTTTCCTTCCAAAATCCTATCATATTCATTCCTGCCTTCTTTTTTGGCTGCTCAATCCACCTTGTTATTATTATTATTATTATTATTATTATTATTATTTCTTACTGCTACTTTTAATCTTTTTTTCAAAAAACAAAAAAAATAGAAATATAACGAAAAAAAAACAACGAACAAAAGCTAAGAGAATTAAAAAAAAAAGCAGAAAGAAAAAAAACAAGAAAAGAACGGACGGACGAGAGAAGGAAAAAAGAAAAGCAGAAAAGAAAATATTTTATTTCATTTCAGCTTTTCTGTTTTTTTTTTTTTTTTTTTTTTTTTTTTTTT